CCAAGTACAGACACACTAATGAAAGAAGCCAAACTGTGTGCCACAAACCCTGCATAGGCTTCTGGCTTAGGCCTCAGTTCCAATGCTCTTCTCTTCTGTGTTGCCATAAGCATGTCCTTCGTGAGCGGGAGAACGTCATGTCCAGTGGCCGGTGGTTTGCTGCCCCCCACACTTCCCATCTCTGTCACAAATTCTGTGTCCTCATGGAGAGTTGGTAAGGGTGGACCACCACCTGGCAAATCTCTTCCACCCCCAGAACTACTGCCACTGCTGCTACCACTGCTGGTGGAACCAGATGACAGTTCACCATTCTGCATGACCTGAACATGCTGCAGGTACATATCTGATTTGAGAAAGTTAGGGTACGTGGTCTCATTGATGAGATTCTCCACTTCGGCTTGTACGCCATCGAACACGTCACCTTCCAGCATGTCCTTGCCTTCTTTTATATGACGGTTCACATCCTTGCGTAGGTCATCTGGAATTGCCAGTTGAGTTTTGAGGAAGAAACGCCTGAAAATGAACATACAATTTGGTTCACATCTGTTTGTAACTCAACATTTGCACAAATTTTATACTAAAAAATAAACACACCGTGTTCTGAAACAACTTGACAAAAAGTACAGTACAGCTTCCTAGCCTCCCTACAAATCAAGGATGATTCTGAAAATTCTAAAATGTTGGATACGTTCAGTTAATCCTGTCTCATGTGATTAAAAGTGAGAAAAATGGTTATATCAAAACGGAAATATTTTCTTACTCACAAGCCACCAAATAAGAAGATGGCTGGTAGTTTGGTAGTAGTTTACTGACATTTCAGAGGTGTTTTCTGCCTCCATCACCAGGACAGCAAGCACCTAAGAAATGTCAGTAAATTTCAACCAGACTACATGGTGCAAGAGCCATCTTCATACTCACTGGTGTGAAAACATGAAATCTCACATGCCGCAAAATAAATTACTTTTCAAAAGGACATAAGAAAAGATCATGCAGATAGAATGGGTGAAGTGGCTAAAGATGGCATGGAACTATAAACCTATAAACCTAGGATATGCTGAGGATAATACTGTGTGATAATTAAAGGAGAAACCAACAGCACCCTGTGTCATCATGCACACCTGTAGATAACCTTCACCAGCTGGTTGATCTTGTCGGGGTCCTGCTGTTTCTTCAGTCCCTCGCAAGCAAACCAGAAATCCAAAGTGTCAGCATGTGGCCGTCCCTCTTGATCTAGGTACCGCCTGAACAATTCCACACCATCCGAGTCCTCCAGTAGGCTGTGCAGGTTGCATGCCCAGCGAAGGTAAGGAGGTGGTGAATGGGACCCACCACCTACCTCCATGAACGCTGTACTGCAGCTGCCCTCTGGCTCGAAGCCAAGAGGAGCATGTGCATCTACACAAACACACACACAACTGATAAATTTCATGCCATCTTCATGCTTGTATGTAACAGTAAAATTGACAAAAGTAATGATTACAATTCCTACAGCGAATAACAGAAAAAATACTTTTATATAATGACAGTAAAAATGTGAATTGTTATCTCCAGGGTTGTGATGCTGTGTAGACTTGTAGGTGGTTACCAATGTTTTGAACAGATGTAAGGCATCCATGACCTCCCTTAAGACCACAGTCAATATTAAACCAGTTTTCTTCTTAATCATATGTGCACCGGTTTAATGTCAAAAGAACGGTAGTACAGGTAAGCTGTCCTCATGACTAAATACAAACCCATGAAAATGTATAGGATGAATGGAGGTAAAGCTCCATGCTTTCTTAAACATGGCACTAGATGGTGGTCAGTGATCATATTCACACATTGGTCACATTATCCCAGGGGAAAGGGTTCCTGGTACTCATTACAGAACAGGCAGGTAGACCCCAGAGAAAGCCTGGACGCGCTGAACAGAAAGTACCTGCCCCTGTTCAAAATCAAACCCCAACCATCCACCCCATAATGCCACTACTCAATAAACCATCCCTCAAAAAAATTAAAAGAAGTTAAAAAGAAACCTGGTAGGCCGGATGCGGTGTAAGCAAGGCTGGAGCGACGAGGGGTGAGCACAGGTGAACTGCCACCTTTGTTGTGCTTCGAGCTCCATGATGAGTAGACGGCTGGAGAAAGTGAGCCTGACAATCCTGTAAGTTCTGTCTCCTCACCTGCAGTATAAAGGCTTCTTCTAGTTGTGGTATTACTTATTGCATTCACAGCACACACCAGCTCTAACTAAAATGTACTTTATTTTAATTTTAAATTGGCAGACGTTTTGACACTGCAATGTAACACAACTTCCCAAAATGTAACATCAAGACTGAAAGATCTGAATGGATTAATGACTGTTCTTACATTTTGTACTGTACAGGCTGAACAGTACTGAAACAAAATATTTTCTGTGCAGAGACAGACAGACTAATCATTAAAAAATGTTCAATCATTAGCTTATTTTCTAACTCCACAGTAGCAGTAGCATTATCAGTATAATTCACTGTTTAACTGGTTCATTCCTTGCCTGGTATAGGTGGACGTGGAGAATTCTCGTTGAATCTGTGATCACGTCTCTCCACAGCACTCATCCTGCTCTGCAACAGCTTCCAGTGCGATGCTGCAGCTGTGACTCAAGACAACACCGGCAAGGCATTGCGCAGCCACCAGCAAATCTGCAAGTAAATATTTTACATCTAAGATCATATCATCACTCTTTAGCTAAGAGGTTATGATAGCTTTCAATAATAACAAACTTTGTTTTAAGTCTGTGATTCAACTCTTCTACTAAAATCCTATGAGTCTCTTCTTGCTTGGACTAGTGGCAGGTTCTTGCGAACATGGCAATAACCATACAAGTTCAATAAAAGGTGGTTAATTTCTTGACCAGATGAGCAACTACTGTATTCTCAAGCACTCACCTCTGTGGAGTTACATCATCCAAGCTGCTTTCAATCCAAACTGAACTTCTGTGATGTTGGGCCTTTCTCAAAACCTATATAGTTGCTCAGCTCCACAAGAAATTTATACTTTTATTGAGCCAAAACATTCATTACCATGTTCATAAAAGCTCATTACTGGACTCCATCCTAGGCAACTTGAATCCTCTCCATTCCCTCAAATCCCACCTTCCTAAGATCTGTTATAGCATCACACTTCCATCTATGCCCTTGTCTCCCAAAGTCTCCTACTCTGAGGTTTTCTGAAGAAAACTGCATGTTTCTTATGTACCCTCTGTGTGCCACATGATCTGTCAATCTTATACTCACTGATTTAATAAGCACAAATTATGAAGGTGCACAAAGTGCAATTTCCTGCATCATCCTCTTCCACACATCTAAATATCTACTCCTGGTAAATGGCTGGCTGCATGAGTGCACTGTTTGTGTGATGTGGAAAAAAACTGAAATGAAGTTCTGACAGTGGTGACTCTGGTAGCAAGAAATGAAAATGAGGCTAAGGTGGTGCTCAGGTAGTCAGTTCTGTGTTAGTGCATTTGGTAAGAATCTGATATCAGCTGCCATGCAATGGTTTCACAGCTAATTTACTTCATAAAGGGATTATATAAATTCTGTACTTTCAATGGGATTTGCAAAGATAATGCTGCAATAGGCTGTATTATTATTGTTATTAAACACAAAGAAGATTGTCCCCTTCACTTTTGATGGGCCACACTATGCTAGTTCTCCTCATAAATATACAACTTTCCTACTGCAGTTGTTACAGGATAGAACAGTGGTGGGTTAAGACTCAAAGTGAACTCATGACTAGAATATAAAAAAGTATTAATGTTTCATAATATTCCCAAAATGTGAATAAATAAAAAGCAAAATGTAGCTTTCAACAAAATGGCAGGTTATAAAGTACAACAGTTGCTGTTCTGAAACTGAAAGATACAAGAAATTAAGTATTCCAGTTCTTCAGAGCTTTTTTCAAAATTCTTGAGCTAACAAAATCTGTTCCCTATCACTCTTTCACAGGCCACATTATTCAGTACCTATAATTCAACTCATATAGGGTTTGGATGGGAGGAAGATGCATCTTTAAAATGGCTGCCAAGAGTTGCCTCTTGATTTCACCATGACTCACACTACGTACCAAGCATCAGTCAATCGATAGCAGAATCCAGGACCCTTGCAAGGGAACAAAGAGCATAAGTTGTATAGGTTTCCACATAACAGTCTTTACAAATATTTCATCATATACCTGCCATCACTGGATAACTTTTATTTATAACCTTTTATAAAAGAATATGTTTGTACCTAAACATGGCCCTGCTTTAACATTTACAGGACAGATTCATATATAATATGTAGCTGTGAATGCATTTATGTTACAGATAAATAAATTCAACATAACCAATATGTCTTAAAACAAATTAGTTAATAGACATACAAATTATTAAAAACAATCGAGCAAGCTACTATTGACAAATGTACTCTATCAAAATTTGTAGTCTACAAAGCTTGAAAGAAACATTTCTTTATTACGTACCACTTTCATTGCTTACTGGAAACAACACACCAAATTTCTTGAACAAAATATAATATATAAAGGATATTTATGTTTTGTTTGAAATCAAATAACCACCGTGATGCTTCTAACTCAACATTTCTCTTCAACAAATAACAAACTATTGACTATTGATGGTCCGGGGGTGCGCAATAAGAGCTTCCAACAGCTGCGCACAGAATCCCAGCATCGCTGTTCTCAGATCGATGCTTGCTGAATTATCATAACCACCGACGCTTTCAATATGAATCAACCATTTATAATTTCCCCCTACCAGTATTATGAGTATGAAATTCTATACATCCAATACAATATAGTTATGGCCATACTTTTTAACCAACTTAAGAATATGACATGGGAACAAAAGGATCAATGCTGTTCCTCTTCATATAATTTTTGTTAAAAACTTCATTGTTCATTTTAATACCTACTTCAAATTGTGATTGACAGATGCCGATCAATACCAGGCTTCCTGGTTTGCAAGACAATTGTCTTCATTCATGGTAGACTAATCAATCTGTAAATTCAATGGCCATAACAGGCTAGACAAGAACCTTCCTTCCTGCCTTTGTACAGGATTTGGTAAACAACTCTATAAAAAAACTATTTGTTGTCTGGGCAGACATCTTTCATTTATGGCAAGCTATGGCAGTTCTTATAGTGATCAAGGTGTACAATGCTTAGTACTTTGCAAGCAGACATAAGATTCTCTTTATCACCAGCTACAAAAAATAAATTATGAATGGCACGTCTTAATTAATCTTCACATTACTTTGCCTACACCTCATGTTCATCTAACAAGGCAGTGAAATGTCCTACCTCATTATTCTTACATTCAAGAATTCAAACAGCTTCAATCTGTGCCTTTTGCATTTCCAAAAACACTTAAATCAATTAACATTCCAGAAAGCCAACCACTGTAAGTATCAAGAAATCATTTTGTGTAACATCTGACATGTTTTTGCGGCCATTCTACAAGACATGCCAACATTTTTAAAGTAGTGACAATGAGTACAGAAGACAAATATTTGTGCAATTCAATTGTCTAAATCTACAGCTCACTAACATATGTGACATATGCAATGCGGACACCAACCAATGGAAAAATAATAACAAAATTAAATTCAGAGACTGCCGTAAATTCTGAAGAGGGTGTCACAGAACCCATAACAAATCCATACACTTTGAAACTACCGATAATTTTCAGACTGTCACCTTCTGTTGTGACAATATATAGTCTTGTAGATGGTTACTAATGTTTCAGATTTAAAATGCTGTCATTTTTCTGGGCCCTGTTCCTATCAGCCAAACAGAGCTCTGTCTCCTCTCCAACAACCCTGGCTTTGATTGGCTAATCCTATTGTTCTCCTTAACCTGGTCCTTCCACACTTCTTATACAACTCCTCCATATCCTAGCCATACTGAACTTTACCCTGAAAATGGAAGCAGCAGATATCTCCAAAATGTAAGTAACCAACTACATGGTGTCACAACCTTGTAGACTACACTCCGATACTGACATTTTTGTAGAGAAATGATTTAAATAAAGGCAGTCTGCTGACATAACAACGTGTTTGCATTTCATAAGTAGACATAATTTCCAAAGTCCATAGTAAACCAACATTATGCACTTTTTCAAGAACATGTCTCACCTGTACCCCATATCCAGTAATTTTCAGTACTGTCTTGTGCACAGGTACAGTCAGAACAAAAAGGCAAGATAAAAAACTACCATCCTTAATATTTCAGATTACCATTCACACTAACCACATCTGAATTAAAAAGGACCTGTGTCATTCTCGCTCATTCATACTTTATGCTCCTGATGCCCTAAAAAAATTAATTTGATGCCATGTGATCAGGCACAGAGTTTCAAGTTACAGATTCCATTTTCAATCCCCACAGCAGTCAGTGTAACCACACTTTGTTTTCTATTAATTTTGGCTGTGTTAAAAAACATGTATGGTTACGCTGGATCATTAGACACTATAAGGTATGATTGAGCTAGGTAGTGGGGATCAGAATATCCTTTAATAGCCCCTAGCAAATTGAAATGTGGCCACTCCCACAGCATCAAGGGGAAAAAAAAAACACCAACAACAACAGGGCAACACACAAGTAATGCACTACAGTGCAATTCATAAACACATCAACTTTATAAGTAAATTCGTAAGTGGTGAACAACAGGCACTGGGAATGTGTACTCAAAAACATGCCGAGAATATGAACACAATGTGCAAGAACCAAGTATTCCTTGCCTTTTAATTGTCATTATAGAACAAGTAAATAAAATGAATGAAAGAGTGGATACAGATGAAAGAGAAGTATTTATGTGAGTGCATAAAAAATGGAGAAGTTGTCATATGTTGACACAACACGGTGGAAACATCAACTGATATGAAACAACAGGGAACACTATAGTGCACTACAAAATGGTAAGAGATAAAGTCAAATTTTCCCCTGTGTCAAGTACTACATGGTGAAGTATAGCAAGAATGGATTAAAGCTCTGACATCCTTTACCACAGCATTAGATAAAGATTCTCATTCCAACTAACCTTGGATTTATCTGGCTCAGGATAGGATCTAATGGCAGCACTTGGCAACCCAGTAACAAACCTTTGCACAGGAAATTTCTCCATGGAGTTACTTACAAACCCAACATATTCACTTTCACAGTATAGGATTTGAGAGTCACAGAACAGTGAAGAAGTTGATGTTGGGTCTTCTGGGTCGTAATGTTATATGGACTTGTAGGTAGATACCAACATTTCTGTGGAACATATGGGCTCCATGGATAAATGAAATGATTTTTATGCTATATAATGATAAGACAAATGACTGATTATCATATTATTTAATAATGCTTCCCAAATGCAAATACCTCCAGTAAATGCCATCCTGCAGAATGCATGGAGCTTCACCTCAATTATCTCTACATCCTCATGAAATAGTACTTAAGACACAAATTTAACTTGAATTTTAGCATCAAGCAAATTCTTTTACACAAGAAGAGGTTTAATTTAGAAAACCTGTCACTACATTGTGAATTAACTCCATGGTCCTCAACCTGTGAGTAGTCATTTGACAGATAAATAAATTCCATTAGAGACAACAGAAATTGAACAAAAAGCATATTATTATCTGATCCTACACAACACCAG